GCAGGAAAAGGGAGCTGGGCAGCGATTTCTTGGCGCGTGGTGGGGGGGTCTCTTTTGGCCGGCCCCGATTTTTTTTTCAGAGTGGAATATCATGCCTGATATAGTTAGATAGTTCAGCTCGTCGCATCGCCCAACTTTCTTTCTCTGCCGTAAGGGAAAGGAGAATTGCTTGGCTCTGGGCCGGATCCTTGCTGGGACCTAACACCACCACCATCACCACCCCCATTGGCTTTTCTTGCCTTCCCAGGTGTCCACCGTTCCCCAGAGCTCCAACAGCCACGGACCCACTTTAGCCGCCGTCCACAGCGGCCACCACCACCCGACCCCCGTTCAGCCCCACGGAAGCCAAGTGGTGCAGAGCCACGCCCACCCGACTCCACCAGCAGCCCCTGTCCAGGGCCAGCAGCAGTTCCAGAGGTTGAAGGTGAGCCTGGTCAGAAGGACCAAGGGTTGGGCATCCCTTTGATCTTCCTCCCCTTGCTGCAGAGGATCAGAATAGAGCTAGAAGGGACCTTGGAGGTCTTCTAGTCCAGCCCCCTCCGTTCCAGCAGGAGAACCCACACCATCTCGGACAAGGGGCTGTGCAGTCTCTTCTTGGGTTTGTGTTATATGTTTCTCCCCTCGTCCTCCACCCAAAGCAACATTTGCATCTTTGGATACATTTGTTGGTTTATTCATTTATGTTACGTGCTCCGCTTTTCGACTCTGCCCTCTTCTTATTTTTATAACCAGTGAAGACACGGTGTTAATTCCCTTCCACTCCTTCCTCTGTCCTCAGCGGCGTAGAAAATGAAATAGCTACTTTGTGCCTACTAACAGTTTTGGGCCGTTTGTGCCAAGTTGTGTTTAACTTAATCGTTAAATCATTTTCCTGCCTGGGTTACGCTGCAAAAAGTGATGCAGACAGCATAAAAACTTCGGAAGTGAAGTCAGTTCTGAATGCTTTGAAGAGTGTGTGTCTCCAGGAATACAGTAAAACACCTCCGATTCTTTTCTGTTAATGGTGATCGTCTTTATTAATAGACTTAAATTGAGATTAACCTCGCAATGTAGGTTTATTACAGCTCATTTCTTTATATTAGCCAAACCAATCTTCCTGGTGCAATGTAAGTTCAAATTCTTTTACTTAAAATTTGTTGGGAAGTTATTGCTCTATAAATGTGACTAGGCTCTTAATTCAGTTTTGAACCTTCAAGTAAGGTCACTTTTGTCAGTGTTTTATCACTGGTACCCGAACTCCGTTTACTCTTGAAAGCCTGGAGATGAGAAATCTGGATGGAAAAGGGATGTTTTTAACTTGGGTTATTTTGGTTTGCAGGTAGAAGATGCTCTGTCATACCTTGACCAGGTGAAGCTGCAATTCGGTAGCCAGCCTCAAGTCTACAACGATTTCTTGGACATAATGAAGGAGTTTAAATCTCAAAGGTATAAGGGAGGCCTGCTTTTTTTCTTTTCTTTTTTTGCATTTGTTTTTATTTTCCTCCACTTGACGGGAACCCATTCAACCATTACGGCTTGTTCAACAAACAGGGGTGGGCCCAAACGTAGCCTTACGCGTACAACTCAAGCCATCTTGCAATAATTAATTCTGTCTTTTATTGCCAAACACTAATGATGTCTGCCTAGGTTTTTTCCTCTACGGGTAGTCCTCAACTTA